CAGATGATCTTAAGTTCCGTGATGGTTCATACCAGGAGATACATTCGGACAGGTAGTCTGGGCCAGAACCATTTAGGGCTTTAAAGGTTAAGACCAGAACTTTGAATTGTGCTCGGAAGCTGATCGAGAGCCAGTGGAGCTGGCATAACAAAAGAGTTGTATACTCCCTGTATGCCGCTCCAGTGAGCAGCCTGGCTGCCGACCGTTGGACTAATTGAAGTTTCCGGGCAGTCTTCAAAGGCAGCCCCATGTAGAGTGCATTGCAGTAGTCCAATACTCAAATTACTACACCTCTAAACAGTAGATGTGTGGCTGGCTTTGGAGACCAATCACTGTCTCCAGCATCAAGCAGTGTTTGACTTTCTCACCATGTTTCACCAAACCAATGCATCCATTTTTCACTGGTGAGGTATTATAAGGAACTACAGTGGATCTGTGATACTGATTCTATATTTCATGGCAGGAAAGGTCATAAAAGGTTAGCCTATCTTCCTGAGTTATCACCAAAGGCTTGGCCTTCTCCTCCCAAACCCCACACTTACTACTATAGAAAAGCATATTTGAAACTGAAATTAAATTTATAGTCATCACTGCCTACTTAGCAAGTGTTATGTATGAATCTCTGTTAAAAGTCAATTTTATTGACGTCATGCATCAAAGATGCTATTGAATATCTCAGTAATGGTTACCTTTGGCACTGAAGGCTATTGAACGATCACTTAACAGCTTAATTCTGTAGAATCTGCTAAAACGGGGAAGGTCCGCACCCTTCCTGTTGCACGATTATAGTAAAATGGAGAGATGGGGATGTTCTAGTCACTCAATAAGATTATTTGTTTGCAAGAACAGAATGCACATGAGAGCCAAGAACATGTTGAATATTCAATAAATGGAACATTGAACCCCTGCCAGCAAAGCAATAAACAGGTTTGCCCTTGCTGTAACTAGAAAATCATTTTGATATGACAAGACTTATGAAAGATGCACCTTCCTCGCCCCCACCAAGCTCTTAGCTCTTATGCCTGTTTCCTTAATGATTTATAGCAGGATGGGAAAGAAACCACTGCACTTTCTGTAACCTGGCAACTTTCAAGAATATATTTTATAAATGAGCAGAATGAAAAGTATGGTCATGGCTGAATTATAGTCGATGTTATGAGTAAACATTGATACTGGGAGATGTAAGTGATTCAAGTGCTTGCGGTAACTACTGTATTATAATAACCAAATTTACGCTTAATATTCGCTATCACCAATGTTGTTTTCATCCCATCCCCCAATTATATTCCTACAAGTTCTGGACAGAGCTTGGAAAGTTACTTTTAGTAAATATGAACATAATGACATGGTGAAAACATTCATACTTAAGCAGTGATGCTTTTGGGACCAAGAATATCATCTTGTAATGCTTGGTTTCAGGGTGGTTCTTAAAGGCAGAGGAAATAATGCATCCTCCTTTAAACTAAAAATCATCCATTTAATGGACATTTGTCAAGATATGATATCACCTCTGGAGCCCCTGGTGATGCAAGGGGTTAAACCAGGGGTCCTCAAACTTTTTAAACAGAGGGCCAGGTCACAGTCCCTCAAACTGTTGGAGGGCCAGATTATAATTTGAAAAAAAAAAAGAATTAATTCCTATGCACACTGCACATATCTTATCTGTAGTGCAAAAAACACTTAAAAACAATACAATAATTAAAATGAAGAACAATTTTAACAAATATAAACTTATTAGTATTTCAATGGGAAGTGTGGGGCTGCTTTTGGCTGATGAGATAGAATTGTTGTAGTTGTGTGCTTTCAAATCATTTCAGACTTAGGTTGAACCTGAGCGAGGGCCGGGTAAATGACCTTGGAAGGCCGTATCCGACCCCCATGTCTCAGTTTGAGGACCCCTGAGTTAAACCCTTATGCCGGTAGGAATGCTGACCAAAAGATCAGTGGTTCAAATCCAGGGAGCTGTGTGAGTTCCCATCTGTCAGCTCCAGCTCCTCATGCAGGGACATGAGAAAACTTTCCCAGAGGATGGCAAAACATCTTAGCATCCCCTGGGCAACGTCCTTGCAGACGGCCAATTCTCTCACACCAGAAGTGACCTGCAGTTTCTCAAGTCATTCTTGACAAGAAAAAAAACCCTCTTAGATAAAAATGCTCATGTAAAAAAAATAAGTAAGCTCGGCATTTTTATATCAAATGTATCTTCTCATCTATTTGTGTTTCTAACGATTTCAAATGTTATTACAAAGCCAGCAACACACCATAACACCTGTACGTCCAATTAAAAATACTTTGTGGGAGCAATTCAAGATTCAATAATTTACTTAAGACCAAGCATCATTAAAAATGGGAGACTAGTTTTCAAGTAAACATTCACAGGACTGGAATGTGTGGTCTCCTTGAATATTTGAAGCTAGTAATCTCAAAATAATTACTGAAGGAGGACATCTGAAAATTATAACGGTGGGGAGGGGGCATTTATTCCTCTTTGGATACTTGCCCCATTCTATGGAAGTCTTCAACATAATAGAAACACCTTTTAATTTCAAATATAAAAAAACAATTATTTTTAAGACTCCAATACAAAAACAGCCTGAGTACTGCATGGTCCCACAAAACAATTTCTGCACCTCTCAAAACCTTAAATTTCTTTATACCCCTAAACAATTGCTGTTCTCCTTCACCCCAAATTCCAATTCAGTTTTTAAATGGGTTCATTAAAACTCCCAGTTCATTGGCCTCATAGAACCAACAAAGTTGCCATTGCTTCTGTAATAGAAGTTAAGGATTTCCTTTTGTCCCTTTGTCAAGACATTCTTATCTGGGAGCAAAGTCTCTTTGAATCTGGTGGACTTTACTTCTGAGCAGATATGGAGAGGAATGCATCATTGGCTACATACACATGAGGGAACAGGTCTCATCAAACTCAATAGGATTTATATCCAAACAGATCACCAACAGATTTCACATTGGTAACCTGTGGAAATGGCACATCTATATAAATAAAAATGTAATGATCGTTTGTGGGATTAAATAATTCAAAAACCACTGGGCGAATTGACACCAAATTTGGACACAAGACACCTATGAGGCCAACGAGTGACCATCACTCATAAAAACACTGAAAAACATAGCAGAAGAGACTGAAAAAGGCAAAAAAGAGCAAAAAAACGCTGCAGTGCATGTGTAAAAACGATTCCCCCGGCAAACAAAACACACAATAGCATATCCACACTCTCTTCCAGACTACAGGTCCCAGCATCCCCTAGACCAGGCCTTTTAGGAGAAGAGGATGATCCAAATGCACTGCTTCCAAGATGCAAGCTTTCTTCTCCTTGGATTTCTTTGAGAGCATCCCAATCCCTGCATATTTCCAATTTTCTATTCCTGGACTGCAACTCCCAGCAATCCTCCAGATAGATAGATTAGATAGAGATAGATGGGTAAGTAGATTGAATAGATCGATCAGGAAGACTGCTGGGAAGTTGCAGTTCAAGAATAGGTAGAGAAGGAAGAAAGGGGAAAGAAGAAGGAAGAAAAGGGGGAGAAAGGGAAGAGGAAAAGAGGAGGAAGGAAGGAAGGAAGGAAGGAAGAAGGAAGGAAGGAAGGAAGGAAAGGAAGGAAGGAGAGAAGGAAGAGGAAGAAGGAAAGAGGGAGGGAGGGAGGGAGGGAAGGAATGAGAGAAAGAAAGAAGGAAAGAGGGAGGGAAGGTTGGCCGCAGCAATGCATGGCGGATACACCTAGTATTAATATATGTGGAATCTCCATAGCTAGATATGGCATTAAATGCAATGTGCACATTTATAAAAATGTAAATAGCAGTCACTGTGGAAAGTTGATAATGGTCCAGCTTGAAGCAGAATCGAAGAAGGAATTTAACCCTTCCTTTTTAATGGCAACAGACCTCCCAATGTAATTAATAGCTTTGGGAGAGTAATTTCTACTTTCCATCCAGATCACTATAGGGGTGTAAGATATTAACTTCTTCCTGCCTATCTCTTGTCCTCATGATTGGAATTTGTCCCCCAGTGGCTGCTATTTACATTTTCCAAAGATAAGTTAAATCTGGGTTGTTGTAGGTTTTTTCAGGCTGTATGGCCATGGTCTAGAGGCATTCTCTCCTGACGTTTCGCCTGCATCTATGGCAAGCATCCTCAGAGGTAGTGAGGTTTGTTGGAACTAGGAAAAAAGGTTTATAAATCTGTGGAATGACCAGGGTGAGACAAAGGACTCTTGTCTGCTGGAGCTAAGTGTGAATGTTTCAACTGACCACCTTGATTAGCATACAATGGGCTGACTGTGCCTAGAGCAAACTTTTGTTGAGAGGTAATTAGATGCAATTAGATTAGAAGTTAAATCTATTCACCTATTAAAGTTGCACCCGGCTGATCCTATGATTATGGCTGTCACTTCAGCATAGGAGGATCCATAAACATATAAAAGAAAACCAGAGAAATATAACATTCACATTTCTTTTACTGTACAACACCATTGATTGTAAGGTGCATAATAATTTCAGTATCACCAACAGAAAAAAAGCTCTATTTGTACATATAAAAGAACCATTCTAAGGACTCTTCCACACAGATGAATAAAATCCCACATTTTTTTGCTTTGAACTGGAATATATAGCAGTGTGGACTCAGATAACCCAGTTCAAAGCAGATATTGTGGGATTTTCTGCCTTGATATTTTGGGTTATATGCCTGTGTCAAAGGGCCCTTGTTTTCAGATATGTTTATACGGGGAGAAGTCTGTCTTAAAATTGAATAAATTGGGTAGTTTTACCACTTTGCTATTGAAAATATTATTGGAAATGGTCACCAAGGAGCACTGGCATAAACAGAAACCAAATAGTGCATCTAAGAAGTTTCCCCTCATTTTCAGGATTTTTTAAAAAAATAGCATCTACCGAAGAGTTAATCGAAAAGTAATCCCACTCCATCATAATTTACCCAATTATGAATTGAAAAATACTAAGCCCATCTACTCATTAGCCTAAAGTAGCTCCAATGCATTGTCACAGCTTGATTGAAGACTGAGAGAAACCAATACTTTAAACAGAGCAGTGGAATACATCTGTTAAAAAGCTCCATATCCATCACTACGAGTCGCCACTGCAAAGGCTGGGTAAGCTTCGTATGCTGCGTAAGCGGCCAAATCCTGTCCGAGAGTCACGGCTTGCTTGAGCTGAGTGGCTGCAACAGTTGCAGCTGTGCTGGCGATATATCCTGTAAGGAAATGCAAAAATAAGACTGCAGTGACAGACAATAATCCTTGATTTACGTTTCTATTTGAGAATAGCCAAAGTGTTGGTTTCTAGGAACTGCCTCAATCTGTGGGTTTGGCCATATGTGTCTAACCAATAGCGGTTGCACATATACACACATATAAAGCCACACAAACACTTTAATGCATGATCCAAAGAAATGATTCAAGTTAGATGGAAATGAAATAAACTGTAATGTATGTCTTGTCTTATTTATTTATTTCAGAGATTTCTATGCCGCCTTTCTCCAGCGCAGACCCAAGGCGGCTCACAACATATATGAAAATGTACATACATACATTAATTAAAACCTGTGTGTAATACTCAATGATGCTTAAAACTGTCCATGGTTTAAACATAATACCATCTCATCACACTAGATCAGGGATCCTCAAACTTTTTAAACAGAGGGCCAGGTCACAGTCCCTCAAACTGGATTATAATTTGGGAAAAAACATGTAAGAATTCCTATGCACACTGCACATATCTTATTTGTAGTGCAAAAAACACTTTAAAACAATACAATAATTAAAATGAAGAACAATGCTAACAAATATAAACTTATTAGTATTTCAATGGGAAGTGTGGGCCTGCTTTTGGCTGATGAGATAGGATTGTTGTTGTTGTTGTTGTTGTGTCCTTTCAAGTAGTTTCACACTTAGGTTGACCCTGAGCGAGGGCCGGGTACATGACCTTGGAGGGCTGTATCTGGCCCCCGGGTCTTAGTTTGAGGACCCCTGCTGTAGTGTGATAAGGCTAAAAGATAATACAGTCTAAAATTCCCATTTTTCAATGTCCATAAGCTGCCTGGCTTCAGTTAAAAGCTACTTCGAAGAGGAAAGTCTTCTCCCTTTTCCTAAATGTCATGAGGGTGGGAGCTGATCTAATTTCCTCTGGAAGCGAGTTCCACTGCAAAGGAGCCACACCTGAGAATGTGCCCTCTCAAGTGATCTTTAGGTGCATGTTGACCCGGGGCTGTGTCGAGATAATAGTCTCCTTCCTAGATCTTAAAGGTTTACCCGGCCTGTATAAGGGACATGGTATCTCAAGTAACTTGGACCGAAGCCGTCTGCACTTGCATGGCACCTTCACCCCCTTACTAGCCAGCAAGCTGCACAGTAATCCTACGCCGGCAAAGACAGAAGGAGGACTAGACCAAACAAAAATGGCAACAACCAAAATGAGCCACCCCACCCCAACCGAGGTAGTTAAAGCTACAATAATATAAAATCATATACAAGATACACATGCAGTCTACGCAGATGCATGTAGGGCTGTAGATTTATTTTTTACTTACAAAAGATAGCAGAACCCAGAAAGAACGCAACATTTTGATGTCTGAGACAGAAGAATAACTCATATCTGCTGCTCCCCTATTTCCCTACATCAGGATGTGTAGAACCCAAGGTTTGCCAAATTACTTTGGCACCAGAATCAGAAATGAAGGAAAATTCAATCTATTGTCAAAGGCTTCCATGGCTGGAATCACTGGGTTGTTGTAGGTTTTTTTGGGCTATATGGCCATGTTCTAGAAGCATTCTCTCCTGACGTTTCGCCTGCATCTATGGCAGGCATCTTCAGAGGTTGTGAGGTCTCTGAGGATGCTTGCCATAGATGCAGGCGAAATGTCAGGAGAGAATGCTTCTAGAACATGGCCATATAACCCGAAAAAACCTACAACAATCCAAAATTCAATCTGTTTACATCATAAACAAAAACTTTCCTAAGGTCATACTTTTAGACCTTCATTGATATTTAGTTACACTTTATCATTTGGACCTGGGTAAAAAGGAAGTTTTGAAGATAGAAGAGAAGTAATTGACTTTCAGCTTTAAAAATTAAAGACGCCTATTACACAATCAAGAAACTCCTGTATTTTTAACTGTACTTCCAATGATCCTGGAATCAAAAAAGGACTTTAACTTCTCTCTCCTACATGCGAGTTTAAAAGCAAGGCATGCCTATTTATGATTTATCTAAATGCTGGGTAATACGTAATGCAAATATAATAGTGCCACCAGCTGATAGCCATTTGACCTTGACTATGAATGGAAATCTACTTACAGCTGAGAAATGAACAAGAGATTCATGGAAGAGGAAATGCATTTGTGAAAAAGGAAATGGATCTCATTCTTGCTAGTGGTCATTTACAAATTAGCATTAGTATTGATCAGAGCTTTTTGAGGGGGGAACCCATCTCTTAAAGTAGGCAGAACATATGGTGCATGCTTCTAATAATGTTGCTACAACGTGGTTGTATTTTATTGTTACTACTAGCCATCCCTTGCCACGTGTTGCTGTGGCCCACATGGGGGGTTCTGTGTGGGAGGATTGGCCCAATTCTATCATTGGTTGGGTTCAGAATGCTCTGTGATTGTAGGTGAACTATAAATCCCAGCAACTACAACTCCCAAATGTCAAGATTCTATTTTCCCCAAACTCCACCAGTGTTCACATTTGGGCATATTGAGTATTCTTGTAGAGTTTGGTCCAGAATCAGATCCATCATTGTTTGAGTCCACAGTCATCTTTAGATGTAGGTGAACTACAACTCCAAAACCAAAGGACACTGCCCAACAAACCCTTCCAGTATTTTCTGTTGGTCATGGGAGAATTGTGTGCCAAGTTTGGTTCAATTCCGTCGTTGGTGGGGTTAATGTTCTTTGATTGTAGGTGAACTATAAACCCCAGCAACTACAACTCCGAAATGACAAAATCAATTTTTTGTGTGAAGGACATACATTGGGTTGTTAGGTGTCTTGTGTCCAAATTTGGTGTCAATTCGTCCAGTGGTATTTGAGTTCTGTTAATCCCACAAACGAACATTACATTTTTATTTATACAGATGTATTGTTTCTACTGGAAATGTATATTTTCATTATTTAGGACCTCATGTACAGAAAAATCCCAGTATCTGCTTGGGATAAATGACCAGACTTCGTGTGGATATGTAAAACCATGGATATTAATAAAGCTTATTATTTTCAATAAGACAAACAACAGAGGTATCAAAAGAGGGCATGGCTTGGACAAGTGAATAAGTGAAACCGTGGATAAGTGAAACTGAATATTGGTTCTGCGGATACAAGGGTCATTCTGTGAAATCAGAGGCATTCCTCATTGCTTTCGAGGCACTGAGTGTATTTAGAAATGCAATCTTTATTTATATTAGCTCCTTTACTACTTGTAAATAATGTTTAGCATTTTTAACTTAGAAAAGCAACACATGCATAAAATATGAGAACAATGAAGATGCCTTGAGAAGTTACTATTTCTTCTATTTTTGTCAGCATATTTTAGTAGGCCTTAAAGGACTGACTAGAGAGGAGCAAATTATCTTTCACATTTGTCATTATTGATTAGGCATGAGCCAAAAAAAAAGGGAATTACACTTTTGAATTGAGTTTTGAACCATGCAGGAAAGGTGTGTGTGTGTTTGGGGGGGGGGGGGGGGGGGGGTCCGAATTTGAACCACTTACCAATTTTTTTCAGAAATATTCTGTAATGTTAGGATGTCTCCCAAGGTTATTTTAATTTTCACAACCAGTAAGCAACTTTGGTAAAGGCAAGAGAACTTTAAAAATCTCATTATTTTGAAGGGATGCAGTGGGCGCGGTTAATAACAGCCATCTTAACTGTAGTTTGGGAAGGGCAGGCCACCAATGGTAGAGATTGCAAAAGGCCCTACTGTTAAACTACGTTTCCCACAATGTGTGCCTGCTCAGTAACCAAATGATGTCTGAAGGACTCAAACATAGCTGTCTGTAGCAGTCTTTGTCTAAATATAAAATCAACTGATTGAATCTACAAAGAGGTCTAAAGAAGGCAACAAAGCGATAAGCAACTTTTGCAAAGCCAAGAGAATATAAACTGCTTTAAAAAACCAATCATTTTACTTTGGCCTGATTGCCATGAACAAGGGGTAAATGCAGAATAAAAAAATCACAATAATTTTTACAACAACATTTTAAAATTCAGTGTAGATGGCATGTGGAAGTTCCCTTTGTGGTCCTCAACAGCTCCCCCCCCCACAAGTTAACCATACTGTAAAGATGCCATCTTTCCCATACCTGCCTCAAATACTATTTTCCTGTTATCTTTGTTTTGTCAATGAATAGCTAGACATCTCCTCTCTAGAGAGGTAGAGAGCAGGAGACTTGGCTTAGAATGATGCATTTTATATTAACTTTAAGAGACCACATTGTTACTGGATTGCCAGAGACTTTTGAACTTGAATAGACCAAATGTATTCCTCAGCTTTCCAAGTAACAATGTAATGATAGGTGAAGGTCATTACAATTAAGCACTAAATGGCACTGGGTTCAATAAAACAGAAGTATAGCTTACGTAACATGGAAGCTTCAACAAGCCTAGACAAATTGATTTTTCTCCGTGGCAGGAAGCTGGATGGATTTTAAACTTTTTTAAAAGCCCTGATGTTCCTGAATGATTCCATATTAATCAACAGGACTGATTGGTGTACAATTCCAGTAAAGCAAAAGAAATCAAATTATCATGAAAGACGTAGACATATAGCGCATAGGGTTTTAGTTATGGTAACTGTAAATTATATTTCTGTTTTGAATCTATGCAGGATGTATTTTCATTCACTGAACCAAATTTGGCACAAATGCCCAATGCACCCAAATAGGGCTGAGGGGGATTGTTTTTGTCATTTGGGAGTTGTAATTGCTGGGATTTATAGTTCATCTACAATCAAAGAGCATTCTCAACCAATGATGGAATTGAACCAAACTTGACACACAGAATTCCCATGACCAACAGAAAATACTAGAAGGGTTTGGTGGGCATGGACCTTGAATTTTGGAGTTGTAGTTCACCTATATCCAAAGGGCACTGTAGACTCAAACAATTATGGATATGGGCCAAACCTGGCACGAATACTCAACATGCCCAAATGCGAACACTGGTGGAGTTTGGGGAAAATAGACCTTGACATTTGGGAGTTGTAGTTGTTGGGATTTATAGTTCACCAACAATCAAAGAGCAATCTGAACAATAGAATTGGGCCAAACCTCCCACACAGAACCCCCATGTCCAACAGAAAACACTGTTTTCTCTGATGGTCTTTGGCGACCCCTTTGACACCACCTTGCGACCCCCACAGGGGTCGTGAACCCCAGGTTGAGAACCACTGCTGTAAATAATCTGGAAAAGAGAATGAGTTGCATCCATCCTTCCCAATACAGTGTTCAAGCTGAACTTCCTGATGCCTTAGATAGGGAAAGGCAGGTCAGTTGCCCTGGGGATAGAGAATCAACTCTTTTGGCCACTCTTTTCAGAGACTGCCCTGTTGTGGTTGTCTACAGATAAGACTTGGGGTGCATCTACACTGTTGAATTAATGCAGTTTGACACCACTTTGGCAGAGAATGCTGCAGAAATTGTAAGACAGCAACTCCCAGGATGGCATAGATTTGAACCATGGCAATTACAGTGTGTGTCAAACTGCCTTTATTCTACAATGTAGTTGCATCCCAAGGCACTTGATGATGGAGATGACAAACTCTCTTTCCAAGGACAACTTAGGACATGAGGCCCTTACACAGCAAGTCTCTACACTTTCTTTTCATGTACTTCCTTAAGTTAATGTGCCTTAGGATCCAAGCTAGTGCCCATACAGTCTAGACGTACCTGGAAAAGATGCTGTAGCAGCCGGCGTCTCTGTGCCCTCAGTGGGGATGCCCAAAGTTTGAAGAGTATATTCCGCTGCATATGTTTTGGCTTCATCTACATAAGGACTGAGCTTGGGCGGTGTAAAAGGATGCCTACAAAGTAGTTGTAAAGACTGAATTTACTCTTACATGTTGGTAAGCTTACTTTGCATTCATCTTTTTCAAAAACAATAGAAATATCTTACAGTGGAAGGCTTTTGATTCAGTTATTTAATTCTTTACTGAATACCCTTTCGAATACCATGCCAGCTAAGTAAGGTAAAATATCAAATAAGACCAAGTTTGCCTTAAAAATAACACTGAAATGAAAGAATTGAAAACACAATTAAATAAACAATAATAAAAGATACCTGGGACCAACTGGTCAAACCTGTCAAAAGCCTACTTGAATAAAAAGGAGTATCTAATCCATAAAACATAAAATCAGTGCATATTAAACATAAAAACAAATTCATATTAATTGAAAGCATCCATCCCTACACTCATCCAAAGGCATGAGGTGTGGGGATAGTGTTGCCTGTGGATAGTATGTGGTCCCAGGGGCATTTTTATTGTCCAAAGGCCTCTTAAAATTTTCATGAGAAAAAAATCCAAATAGTGCCACCCCCCCCCCCTTACATAGGGAAAATGCATATATTGGGCTTAAAATGACCCCAAAAGGCCCAAAATGTGATGAAATTGATCCCAACTTTTTCTGCTTTTTTGGGGGGTTGTGGGAAGTGGGCCTCAAAATCTCCGAATCTCTGCCAGCTGTCACTCTTGATGTAGATGAATTGGAAAGTGCAGAAATGACTTACATGGTAGGATTTTGACTGGCAAGAGCAGGGATAGTAATTTTATATAGGAACAGCTGTCTTTGGTCTTGCCCAACAGCTGAATGAAGTTGATAGACAGGCTGTCCCCAATTATTCTTCTGGCAGATCTCTTCCAATATCTACAATGAAAAAAGGATTCAGTGATGTCCATTTTGTAATCAAGTTGTAGGTACCACAATTAGTCAAAACAACTTTAGGACTTTATCACACACAATAATATCAGTGTTTCTACACATTTAAGAAACGGTGACAAACGGAGCCCATCATATGACACAAGCTCGTACCGTGAGTTCCAGGTATTTTGCCGTTTCTGTAGTGTCGTTTTTTCCTATGTTTCCCAAGTTGATTGACACTCAACTTCTTTTTCAATTCCCCACACAGAGATGTGTAAAAACACCCAATTTAATGTGTGATGGGAATTCCCCCTTGTCTGCTTGTAAACATAACGATGATGCCATAATGGAGGGAGGAGCTGAAATGGCAGTTTTGATTCCTTACCGATTTGGGATTGTGGAGGAAGGAATGGTAAATTATATCTCATTTTAAACATAAAATAAACATTTTGAATTATAGTTTACACAGTTTATAAAAAAACTGTAATATCTAAAGAAAATGGAGGCGGAGACAGTGGAAGTGGAAATATATCTCCCATGTAATGAGAAGGCAAACAGATAATTAGAAAAGAAAGCAAAAAAAGGGAAACCTGGGTTGTTGTAGGTTTTTTCGGGCTATATGGGCATGTTCTAGAAGGATTTTCTCCTGACGTTTCGCCTGCATCTATTGCAAACATCCTCAGAGGTAGTGAGGTCTGTTGGAACTGCCATAGATACAGGCAAAACGTCAGAAGAAAATGCCATATAGCCCGAAAAAACCTACAACAACCCAGTGATTCCGCCATGAAAGCCTTCAACAATACAAGAGGGAAATCGTTTGATGGGGTAGGAAAATCATTCATTTAATTTCAAAACAGGGCATTTTGAAGCTTAAGGGAACAACAACAATCCTAAATGCTTTACTTATCCCATGGGATAAAGTCCTTAGTTCTGATGTTTGGCTCTGGAAACTTAAAAGAAGAAACCAGAAAGGACACCATGTACGGGAAAATCTTATAGTTACAGAGACAACCAAAATGAGCATCATTTTAATCATTTATTTTATGGTGTATCGGTCTACTTTTCCACTAAAAGACAAAAAGGAGTAGTGATATGTAAGCCACTCCGAGTCCCTTCAGGGAGGTGGTGGTATAAGAATAAAATTATTATTATTATTATTATTATTATTATTATTATTATTATTATTATTATTAGAAACACAACAAGATGTATCCACAGCAGACACTCTGCTGGCTGTTGTATTGTATCACATGTCGGACATTTCCCAAGTGTCTAGGACTGTGATGTATCAGCGAATAATGTGTGCAGATCCCAGTAAGGTGGCCTTCTGCAGCTGACAGATGGTAATTTTGTCAGTGCCAATTGTGTTTAAGTGCAGGCCAAGGTTTTTAGGCACTGCACCCAGTGTGCCGATCACTGGGACTACCTTTACTGGCTTGTGCCATTATTATTATTATTATTATTATTATTATTATTATTATTATTATTATCAAACAGACAATGTATTGGGAATCTCACATCAGAACAACATATTTTATGTGTGGCCAAGACCCCAAAATAAAATATAAAACGGCTCTGTACTTAAGCAAATCAATACGTCTGAGAACCACATATGTAGGGCTGATTGGGGTAAATTGTAGGGGTGATAATGAAATATGATGTATATACTCAGCTTGATCAGTTTATCAGTTTTATCATGTCTTATCATATTTATTTACTGTATTGTTATAAGTGTCTTATTTTAACTTACTACGTGGAGTGTGATCGGGTCTTGTCAGGCCTTGTTGTTCTGTTTCTTATTGTGATATGGCCTAAGGGCTAATCAATAAAAATTATTATTATTATTATTGTATTGGTGAAGGCTTTCATGGCTGGAATCACTAGGTTCTTGTGGGTTTTTTCAGGCTATAGGGCCATGTTCTAGAGGCATTTTCTCCTGACGTTGATGAGGAAAAATCTGGCTACCAGTATTAAAAAACTCTAAAATTACAGCAGCAAAACAGCAGAGAGGAAACAACCAGGCACATCTTAACACCTCTCAACAAAAGATTTTCCCAGGCTCAGCCAGGCCTTCAAATGCTAATGAAGGTGGTCAGTTGAAACATTCACACCTAGCTCCAGCAGAGAAGAGCTCTTTGCCCCACCCCAGCCATTCCACAGATATATAAACCCATTGTCCTAATTCCCACAGACCTCACTACCTCTGAGGATGCTTGCCATAGATGCAGGCGAAACGTCAGGAGAAATGCCTCTAGAACATGGCCCTATACCCCGAAAAAACCCACAAGAACCTAATTAATATTATTATTATTATTTGCAAAATGGCTATGACCCTTAAAAAGAAATTGAACAATCAAACCACCAAACTCAATAATCAATAAATATTGCCAATAATTATTTCTCTCCGAATCTTCCCCACAAGTGTAGAGCGAACAGAAAGACAGATGGGGTGGCTAAGAGCCTAAGCGTTTCTTCTAACTATGCTCTACTCACCTGCGGGGCAAGTTTAATTCCTTGTGGTTTTAAACTGATGTGATTCATTGGCGTAAGCTCCATTCCTGGCAAAAGGTCATACAGTTTCTCCTCGTCTCTTTTCTCCCCTTTGAGCTGGTATCCACGGCCGAGGGCAGGGTTGGCCAAGTAGCCACGGCCTCCTAGTCCTCTAACTCCGGCAGCCCCTACAGGTACATTCATGTAAATTTCTAGGAATGTAAGAAGGCATTAAACTGAATCAAATCACCGGAAAATCTCCCTGATTCGTAATGTATTGGAAGACATGACCCCTGTACAGGTGACACACAATACAGAGGTTGAAAGGGGATTAAGATTACAACCCTACCTTCATGCAAGATGAACTTGCACAGTAACAGCAGATGTTGGCAACACTGGGCAGCAAATCTGTACGTCGTTTCGTTTGTTATATATATATTTTTCCACTGTAGCATTTAGATTTTACACCTCAGGCACTAACATTTCTTCAGCTGTCTTTACTACTCTGTGTTTATTGGAAATAATTCACCGAAAAGTAGCAACATTCAAAGCACAAATCCCTTTATTGCCTTTCAAGCGCTCATGGATATTTGCAAGGACGGGACTGTTCCAACTCTGATTGTACCTTGTGGGCATTTTGTTATTTTTAGTATTTGCAATTTAGCCCACAAACCTCAGGCATCTCAGGCTTTTTTTTTAAAGACTTCAGTCTAGGAAACATGGTGAACCTGGGAATTGCAGTTTACTCAAATGTACACCTATAACATTATATTCTAACAGTATCACTTTTATTAATATAAGCCAAGTCCTGCATGTTGAAAATGGCCTTAAGATAACTTGATGGAGAACATGCATGAATTATACATTATTTTACCCATCTCCATTTTGTCCAGTTTCATATAAGGCTTACAATTCAGTTATTTGGATTCAGGATTGAGGGGTACATTTTAAAACTGAATTGTATTTAATGAACAAGAACAATAGTTGTAAACTGGATGATCAACATTAACAGGTATAAATGTAAGTGTCTGATGTTTGAAGCATAACTTTCATTCAATTTTTACTAACTCGCAAAACCAGGAACATTTCTACTTTACGAATGCCTTCCCTCAGGCCCGTAGCCAGGATTTCGTTTCGGGGTGTGTGTGAATTTTTGGGGGGGGGGGGGGTTTGGGGGGGCTGAGTTTGCGGGGGGGGGGGCTGAGTCTGAGTGAAAGAGGGTCTAGCCTAGCAAACCTTTTGTATCATTACCCCAATACCCCCATGCATATGGGATATATTGAGTATGGTGATCAGATCATGATATGAATAAACATAACCGTTTAAATAATGCACCAGTAAGGCCTTTTCGCGAACCACCATGAGAATTTCGGGGGGGGGGGGGCTGAAGCCCCTCAAGCCCCCCCCCCCGGCTACATGCCTGCCTTCCATAGCATATATTTCAATGGAATTGTCCTGTGGGAATTGCGGGATCATAGAGTGAAGAAGAGAAGAGACCTTGTGGGCCATCCAGTCCAACCCCCTGCCAAGAAGCAGGAAAATCACATTCAAAGCACCCCGACAGATGGCCATCCAGCCTCTGTTTAAAAGCCTCCAAAGAAGGAGCCCCCACCACACTCCAGGGCAGAGATTTCCACTGCTGAATAGTAGGCTTGGTTGATAAAAAAAAATGATTCAAAACTCGTTTCGGATGTAGGGGGCACTGGTGGTTCGATTTTAAAGTTAATTCCGATTTTCACAGGAAAAAATGTTCAAAACTTTTCAAAACTTCCAAGACTTCCGAATCTTTCGTTAATGGTTTGAAAGTGTTATTTCCTGTTTCATTGGGTGGTCTTTATTTTGAAAGTTGTTGTTTTACTCCAGAAGTGTAGAAAAGCAAGCAGAGGAAATTCCTTCCTTCTCTGGTTTAAAACTGGCTTCTCTGGCTTGAGCCGAGGCCAAGAAATTCCTTCCTTCTCTGGTTTAAAACTGCCTTCCCTGGCTTTAAAACAGGTTTATCTGGCTTGAGCCGAGGCCAGGAAATTCCTTCCTTCTCTGGTTTAAAACTGGCTTCTCTGGCTTGAGCCGAGGCCAGGGACCAGAAGCGGGAAAAGCAAACGGAGGAAATTCCTTCCTTCTCTGGTTTAAAACTGGCTTCTCTGGCTTGAGCCGAGGCCAGGAAATTCCTTCTTTCTCTGGTTTAAAACTGGCTTCTCTGGCTTGAGCCGAGGCCAGGAAATTCCTTCCTTCTCCGGTTTAAAACTGGCTTCTCTGGCTTGAGCCGAGGCCAGGGATCAGAAGCGGGAAAAGCAAACGGAGGAAATTCCTTCCTTCTCTGGTTTAAAACTGGCTTCTCTGGCTTGAGCCGAGGCCAGGAAATTCCTTCTTTCTCTAGTTTAAAACTGGCTTCTCTGGCTTGAGCCGAGGCCAGGAAATTCCTTCCTTCTCTGGTTTAAAACTGGCTTCTCTGGCTTGAGCCGAGGCCAGGGACCAGAAGCGAGAAAAGCAAATGGAGGAAATTCCTTCCTTCTCTGGTTTAAAACTGGCTTCTCTGGCTTGAGCCGAGGCCAGGGACTAGAAGCAGGGAAAAACTGAACCATTTCCGACTCACTTCATGAGTCGTAACAAAAATGACAGAAAAGGCTTTGGAAAGGCAAAGGGACTTCTGGTTTTCTTAAAATCTTCAAAATCACTTCAAAAAGGCAATTTTTATGACTTTATTCTGAATTACGATGGTCCCTAACCATGCCTACTGAACAGCTCTTACAGTTAGGAAGTTCTTCCTAATGTTCAGGTGGAATCTCCGTTTCTGTAGTTTGAAGCCATTGTTACACATCCTAGTCTTCAGGAATGTTTTTTGCTGCCCTATTCCTCCACATCGCCCATGAATTACACCCATCTGGATGTGTAAACTGACTCCACTGGTAGTCACTCAGCCTGAGATTATATGAAGGTTCTATCTTTAGGTAATATGCTGTACTTGGACAACCAAACTTTGTTGCCGTACTTTGTGGGTGAGAGAGGAGAGTGTAAAAATGAGCGTGAGAGGGAAGATAAGCTCATGATAAATCAGATGATAAATGTAAAGTTCTACTGCAAACCTCCCCAAGAGATTAATTATTTCACAAGTCCATCATCATGTGACCCACAGACCTCCCTTTCCTCAGTGGATGTCAATACAGCGAGCCCATATTCTGTACTTGCTGTGAGGAAGTACTGCGTGGTAGAATTACCTCTAATGGATGGAGGTCTAATGGTGCCCCTGTTGGCGAGATGTCCTTTCACAGCAGGAAAGTGGAGGTTGGGAATGGCAGCATAGGCTTGAGGTGCATAGAATACTGGGGTCCCCAGGTAGGTAGCAGCAGGGTCATATACAGGCCCAAAAGTGTAGGTGTATTCTGGCAACACCGCTCCCCCTCGTCCTCCGGTGCCTCGGGTGTATCTGACATAACTATCTTTGTCGACTGGCTTGGCCAAAGTGACTTCGATGGGAGAACCATCCACCATCTTTGAACAAAAAGGGACACACAAAGACAGAGAAAACATATGAAATCCAGAAATGGGCCAGCTGTCTCATTGGGAGTGAAACATCTACTTCAGTCGGCAGAATTTGAAAGAAATGAACCATTAGAGCAGTATGTGCCAAATGACCAGTTTCCCTACTTCTTTCAGTAATTGAAATAAGACTCTACTGCCAGTCTAGACAGCTTTTTATATAAAATGTAGGGATGCTCTTTCATGACAATCGGCACATATGTTTCAACAGAGGTGAGAAAAGATCAGTCCTTCAAGGATCCCTCCAGGATCTCAAAGGGTGTCTTTTCCTGCTCTTTGAAACCCCCAGGTACAAAACATTGCTATTTATTTATTTATTTATTTATTTGCGACATTTATATGCCTCCCTTCTCACCCTGAAGAGGACTCAGAGCGGCTTACAAGACATATATACATACAATATCAGTATTAAATATTACTATGTTGTACTATACCATTATATTGTATTTTTAACTTAATTTTTTATTATTTAATATTATTTAAATAAATGTCAAGGTCTTCATGTACTCATGTTTACATATGCTCCGACTGTTCCAATATGTCAGAAACTGCCCTGATTAATCCTCTGCCATTTTTCAGATGCTTTACAGTTCTGTTCTCCTTCCACTTTCGACATCATCAAATGGACCGCCGGAATCGGCATGTATCATGGCGAATCTGGCCATGCCCACCTGGGAGCGTAGGGAACTCATTGCCCCACATTGGCCAACTCACCCAAATCTCCATCCAATGGGGAGGAGCATTGACCACCCAACTTTCCACTGTTTATTTCTATTCAACACAGGAAGCACCTTTTGTTGCCACAGCGGTGGCATGCATCTGTTGCTCTATGTCAGTGGGCTCAGTAGTAAAAATATAGACAAACTGGCGCATACATCCAAAAGGAACACATGTGATGAGGTCATTTGTACTCAATTTAATTCAGTTGCTGTAAAATGACTTTAAAGCACAGAAGTAGTCTTCATATAAATTATTAGGAGAGAAGAGAGGACATGGAGGAATCTTGTCATTCCCAGTAGGCTTTGGCAAAAGCAAACTGCTGCAACCTCTCCTTGCATTTCTATTGACCCTCATTAATAGCTTTCTCCATCTTAACTATAGTTTGATATTGTTTGGCCACACATGTCTGATTTTCATCTGTGAAATGTTGGAAGGTATGTGTTTAATATATTTAAAAAACCCACTTATTTTAAATTATAAGAAGTGGACTGCCAAGTACTTTGACTTTTTTTGGTAGTCTATGCAGGTCCCATGGAGGGTCTGCAGCATAAAAGAGGCCCCTAGTCTTACTGTGATTACATTTATGTAAATGATGTTAAACCAGTGGTTCTTTTTTTTAACCAGGGACCACTTTAAATAGGGACCATTTGACCAGGGGCCACTCTCCAACATTAGTACCAAAAGGGTTATGAATCAGTTTTTGATCAATCTTTAATTTGGTTTGGTTATTTGGGGCCCTGATTCAGAAAATTGCATTGGACCACATTAGCTTTAGTTTCTGATACGGAACATATGCCATCCATTAGTCCCTATCTGCTTGCCTATAAAAGCTATATTTAATAATCTAGAGCTGATGTGGTCTACCCAAAGGGTTGGGGCTGGTCAGCAACAGGGAAAGAGTGTCAGGCAATGCGAAAGGAGCAGAAATAAAATAAAATAAAATAAAATAAAGAGGAAGGAGGCTCGTGGACCAGATTTTCATCCACGTGGTCCACTGATGGTCCGCGGCCCACAGGTTAAGAACCACTGTGTTAAACTCATGGCATCTAGGATCAGATCATTTTAGAAATATCCCTATAATTTTGATTCATGAAGACCCTTCTGGCTTTATTTCCATCTGAGACATCCTGTGTGGAAGGACGCTGGATATGTCTCTGTTGAACAGCAGATGCATGCAAGTTTATAATCTCTGAAAGCTTTCCCCATTTTGGATAATCCCCAGTGTACAGAAGATGGCTGGAGCAGTTCTTGATATGCCTGATATGGACACTTTGCACACAATTGAGATGCAAGTCCCGCAACCTCATCAGACAGGATAACTTTTGGTGGTATGTGCTGGTTCCTCTATTATTTTGTGACAGAACCTGCCAGCTTCTATCCCACGACACAAAACTACTTCCAGCGGAGCTCCACCACAAAACTATAGAGGAGCTAGCATATGCCACCATGGCGGCAACACAGGAGTCCTCCCATGTTACAATAGAGATCAACAGGGAGAAACCAGGTGGCAGACACTTCCTCCTGTGGGATGAGGTAGGGGGAAAACCAGGCGATGTGGGGCATGGGGCAATGGGCTCCTATGCCCCCTGCCAGGCACCACCAGATTCACCACAATGTGTGGTGATTCCAGCGGCCCATATGATAAGGTCATGTGTTCTTCCCATATGAGCCTTCTAGGGAGGCCCTTCTCTTTGTGCCAGATTCATCTGGTGGGAAGGGAACATGGGAGAGGCCTTCTCGGTGATTATTCCCAGGCTCTGGAACTGCTTTTCTAGCAAGGTTAGATGCCAACTACTTTACTCTCCTTTTGTAGGGAGGTGAAGACATTTGTCTCATCAGGGCTTCATGGGCTGACTGCTCAGGAGCAAAGGGCTTTTCATGTCATATATTGGAATGTGGTTCTTTTTAATGTTTGCTTGCAACTGATTTCCATTTTAGGAATGATTTAATTTATTTTTTAACTGTTGAGGAATGTCCTTGGTTGCATTTGTTCTAACTTAGCTGGGTGTCTCCGCCTCTTCATGGCAGCCCAGTACCACAAGGTGTTTTTAACCAACTTACTACTGGAACAGACAAGATGGTATCCAACTAAGCTTAAGATTTTTCAGATTTTTCAGATGCTTTAGAGTTCCACTTTCAACATCATCAAATGGGCCACTGGAATTGGCACGCATCATGGTGAATCCGGCCGTACCTACCTGGGGTCGTGGGGAACCCATTGCCCCATGCCCCACATCGGCCAAGTCACCCAAGTCTCCATCCAATGGGGAGGAGCACTAGTATCCAAATCTATCCAAATTACTCTAATACAGGAGGAAGCAAATCCCTGAAATATCTCTTTTAATCTCCAATTGCATCCCTTTCATGAGACCTGAAATCTGCTGCCTGTGGTCATTATCCCATTATGTCCCATGGCTGAGCCGGCCCTGCTTATATGCAGCTATCACCTGCTATCTGCAAATATGTTGAGAAAAAGGAGCGGGGCCATAACACAAAAACTGGCTTTATGTTGTCCTTAGAAACAAATTGCACATAATCAGAATGGAACAGTTTAGGCTGGTGGTTTGCTGCTCAAACATTTATAGGACTATAAATAGAGAACAGACTTTTAGCCTTACTATAATGGTTTGCCAGACCTCTCGAGAGCCAAGCTCTAGCAATGGATTGTATATCACAGATTTCCATGACCAGAAAATTGCTGCATATAAACCAAAGCCATTCAGGTCAGGCCCTCTGGCAAAATTTCTGTTGTTGGCACTGTTTTCTTTTGCTACACATAGAGAGGTACCAACAATACAAAACCTTATAATGCCATATATGCGCAACCTTCTCTGTGCCTTCCAGCAAATACACAACTAATCCAGCGTTACCTTCCCATTTAAGACTTTCATGGCTTCCACAGCATCTTCGCGGTTGTTGAAGTGCACAAATGCATAGTCCCTGATTTTCTTTACTCGTTCCACTGACCCTGTAGAAGAGATCTCGAGGTTAGGTCTGTCATGGATATCACTAAAGTGGAAACCATCTGCTAATGTTTTGCCCTTGGGCATTGATCTTCCTCACTAATTCAATTATTTTTCATTATTCTCCAGTAAATAAATATTAGATCCTGGCATTGCAAACCACAAACCACTCAGCTGTTCTATTTATATTTATTTATTCTGGCTTAGCAATAGGCACTCTTGTGCTTCGTTTTCTCCTTTGATTTTCTTGTTGCTGATGTGGTATCCAGAAGTGTGCTACTAAATTCCTTGGAGATGTCATGTTCTGCATTGTAGCGAACAGCATCCAAATCACATGTGCAACCATTTAGGTGGTAAGATAGCTTATGGATCCCAGCAAGGGGGAAAGCAACTTTAAAAAGTCTAGGATTTAACTAAAGAGCAACATATATTCAGGGGTGTAGCTATGGGAGAAGAGGCAAAATACTCCACTCAAATTAAGACTCTCTCCCTTGTTCCCACAAGGCGGGACTGAGATAATGGTAGAGGTGAAAGAGAGCCTCCCCTGAGGATCGGAGAGATCGAGCAGGTTCATGAAGGGAGATATGGTCTCGAAGGTCTGACAGTTGGTCCTAGAGCAGTGGTGGTGAACCTATGACACACATGCCGAAAGCAGCACACAGTAGTCTCTCTTCTGACATGTGTGCCATTGCTCCCCCCACTGCTTGCTTGTCCCCTGTTTACTCACTCGCTCCCCTTGCTCACCCGCTCACCCACCCCCTTGCTTGCTCCCCTGATCATCTGCTTGTGAGTTCCCCCATTCACCCTTGAATTGTGGTTTGGGCACTTGATCTCTAAAAGGTTCACCATCATTGTCCTACCACTTCATCACATGGAGTTTGGAAACCATCCTAGCATGCTGCCAGGATGCTTCCTCGATGCAGCCCACCAGATGCCATCACACGACATAAGGCGGGACTCTGTCGAGAAAGAGTTCTGGCAGCATGCTAGGATGCCTCTCTGAGAACATGGCAAGCCTCCTGTGTTCTCATTAAGAAGAATGGGGGAAGCCAGGGGGTGATGCTTTACCCCATGTGATGGGAAAAGCAGCAGTGTGGGTGATGCAGGCATGGGGCAACAGTTTTTCTGCCAGATTTGCCACGCTGCATGGTGAATCACCCCTGCTGCCCATCTTCGGACCTTAATGTGATGAGGTCCTTAGACTCTGAAACACCCTTCCTGGGAGGCTACTTTGGCTTCCTCATCACTGTTCTTTTGTTGTCAGATGAAGTCTTTTTTCATTCCAGACGGCATTTGAGAATTGATCGTTTTATAATGGGTTTTCTATTTTTGTGCTATGCTGTTTTTAATCCGGGCTTTTAACTTAATGTTTTATATCGGCTGGCATTCAGTATTGCAGATTCATAGCTGAGAGTTATGGATCCATAAATGCTCTGTATTTAGTAAGGCTACACCGTCTTACTGTAAGACAACATAAATACCATCCGACCCACCTTCAGACAGGTTGGGCGAAGAAGGTTCATTCAGTTTCTAACCAGGATGCTAGAATTGTGCATTTCCATTCCTTTTCTGCGTGCAAGGATGCTGAAACAATTAGAAATAAGATCCCCATTGCAAGTCTTTGCTGAAGCCTCACTTACTGGTGGGAGGGTGGAAACATTATCCTCCTTGCATTCAGATCAGAAGTTGAATGGACCCTCTCTCCTTGATCCAACTGCTGGCTCTTAAGATGGGCTGGGAGGGTCAGGTTGGGAAATGTAAGTAGCCAGTGTAGAATGCTGTGGTTTTTTTAAATTCTAAAGACACCAGTATTATTTTAATCTTAATTTTTCTACATTTGAAACAATACATTGATTGATTTGTATTTCATTTATTCTGTGAGATGCTTTCAGTTCCATTCTTGTAGAAAAGGGAGAATATAAATAAAGTCACTGACTGATCCACCGTAAGGGGAACATCTGTCAACAAACCTCAGAGGTCTAAGTTTAGTTCCTTCAGGTACAATACACAACTATACATTTACGTTTGGCAACTCCAGAAACAGAAGATACGAAAGATGGGCGAAAACTTACAAAATGAAGTTCAACAGTGACAAATGCAAGATATTCCACTTAGACAGAAAAAAATGAAATGCAAAGATACAGAATGGGGGACGTGTGGCTCGAGAGCAGTACGTGTGAAAAAGATCTTGGAGTCCTCGTGGACAACAAGTTAAATATGATCCAACAATGTGATGCGGCGGCAAAAAAAGCCAATGGGATTTTGGCCTGCATCAATAGGAGTATAGTGTCTAGATCCAGGGAAGTCATGCTCCTCCCCTTGGTTAGACCACACCTGGAATATTGTGTCCAATTCTGGGCACCACAATTGAAGAGAGATATTGATAAGCTGGAATGTGTCCAGAGGAGGGTGAATAAAATGATCAAGGGTCTGGAGAACAAGCTCTATGAGGAGTGGCTTAAAGAGCTGGGTATGTTTAGCCTGAAGAAGAGAAGGCTGAGAGGAGACATGATAGCCATGTATAAATACGTGAGAGGAAGTCATAGGGAGGAGCGAACAAACTCGTTTTCTGCTGCCCTGGAGACTAGGAAGCAGAGCAATGGCTTCAAACTACAAGAAAGGAAATTCCATCTGAACATTAGGAAGAACTTCCTGTGAGAGCTGTTCAGCAGTGGAACTCTCTGCTCCAGAGTGTAGTAGAGGATCCTTCTTTGGAAGCTTTTAAACAGAAGCTGGATGGCCATCTGTCGGGGTTGTTTTGAATGCAATTTTCCTGCTTCTTGGCAGGGGCTTGGACTGGATAGCCCATGAGGTCTCTTCCAACTCTATGATTCTATGAAAACTGCTAACATTTTTGTGGTTTGACTCGTGAATCAAAGTTTAGTGGCAGCTCCTAGATTTACATACTTCTGTTTTTATTTATTTCCATTTTACTGCTGCCCACTCGTACAAGATACTTTAATATCTGAGACATATGTCAAGATGGGGCTGCCCTTCTACTTCAAGATATTTGGATGCCATAGTGCTGTTTCTTCAAAAATAGAGAATGGACAAGAGATTTAGAAGGAATGGTTAGATGGAGACGTAAGAGGAACAGAGAGTTCCTGGATTTGGGTAGCGATGGGGCCCTTTTTGGGAAGTGATACTTGGCAGATGTTTAGCACAGCCAACCTCTGACTCAGGCCTGGCTTAGGCATTTCACAAGTGGTTTAAATTATAACTTGTTGCTTAGCTCTAATGAACAGAGAAGGTTAGAGATCCACATAAATGTCAATATTGGATATTCATACATATATCTTCAAGAAAAATAAGCTTTTTCAAAACGGTTTCCTGATAGAAACTGTATCTTTGACCAAGTGCATAGACTTCCAAAGCAGAGTCTAATTGCTTCTCTTATCACTCAGCTTCTGTATCCTAGCTTTGGGCTTGTAATGAGCCACGGGAGAATTTGCACTTCCAGTTTTGTGCATTGGAATCGAGGTGCTTTGCCTGTTAATCTCTGTTTTCATGGCCAAATATCACTGTTAGCTGATTATATAATATAATTGTTTAATATTTTATTAAACCATCTTGGAGAGTTCAGTTTAAATATCAGTTAAGCTATATGGGACTGCACAGCAACCAAAGGGTTTTAGGCATGCTTTATTAAATGAATCTGAGTTTTATCTAAATTTGTTATTTATTTATATTATTTTGTGTGCAACACCTATGTGCCATCTTTCTTTTGGCATTTCAAAGCATCTTACTATATTCTAAATCCGGTTGGCAATCCCAACCCAAGTAGACCAATTACATCAATGGGATTTACTTGGGCGTTAACTCACTTTCTACTCTAGTTAGGATGGGATTCGGGCTTATTATTATTATTATTATTATTATTATTATTATTATTATTTCATGTATTTCTACTCCGTCTCTTCTCTACCCCCGAAGGGGGACTCAGGACAGCTTACATTTGGCAATGATTCGATGCCGCTACATATAGACACTTACAATAATACAACAATTAAAATGCATAATGAATTAATTAAAACAGTACATAAAGCATTAATTAAAACAATAATACAGTATTATCAGCTATATCGCCATTCCAGTCGATTTCCAACCAAAGTGCTAATTATATTTGCTGTCCGAAAGCCTGGTCCCAAAACCACAATTTTAATTTCTTCCTGAAAGCGATGAAGGATAAAGCCAATCTTATCTCATTTGGAAGCGTGTTCCACAGGTGGGGGGCCACAGCCGAGAAGGCCCTGTCTCTCACCCCCACCAGATGAGTTTGCAATGTTGGTGGGAGCGAGAGCAGGGCCTCCCCCGGATGATCTTAAATTATGAGGTGGGACGTAGAGGCAGATGCGTTCGGGCTAGTAAGCTGGGCCAGAACTGTATAGAGCTTTGTAACCTCACAATACAAGAAAACAACCTTATATGAAAAAGGAACAAGCAACAAAAAAAAAAGAATAACAGTTTAAAAATAACAGCAGTAAGAAAATACCTCCACGTGGGTGGAAGAAAAATAAGTATGTGATTCATGGAGAATTGCCATTTTGCATGTTTATGTTATTCTGCCCATTCCTTCCTTAATTGGCCCTCCTAAATGAAATATATTTTGTTATATTTTTATTATGACTATTTTAAAAATCGTATCGTATTACATGCGCACAGAAAATCTTTCATAGTGTTCTGTAACTTCAGTAGTGGACAGAGACTCGGAGTGCATTTACACTGTGGAATTAATACAGTTTGACACCACTTTAACTGCCATGGCCCAATGCTATGGAGTCTCGAGAGTTATATTTCGATGTGTCACCTGCCCTCATTGGCAGAAAAAGTTAACGATTTTGTAAAATTACAACCCCTGATTCCATAGCATTGAGCCATGACACTAAAAGTGGTGTGAAACTGCTTTAATTCTACAGTGTAGATGCACCCTAGCCTTCTGCGAGTACCATCTAAACTCTGTTATTCCTCCTCCCCTTAAATATGTTCCTTTGCTCACAATGTAAAAACATTTCAGCAGAAATTACCTTTTCTCAGTGTATTTCTTCACCCTGTTTTGCTTCACCGACCAATTCTGAGCAAACCACTCATTTCCCTTTTACCTGGTTTTATGTTGCTGAATTCTTTTTCAATTGTCTCTTCCGTAGTTGATAACATAAGATTTCTCACGTAGAGGATTTTGACTGCTGACATTGTGTCTTCGTCAACCTCAACCTCTGGCTCTGCCCAGTCAACGGCTATTGGATGTCCCCATAATTGTATCCTTCCTGTGGAGTAATTTGATTTCCATAATTAATTTAAAAATAACTATAAGACATAAGTAAGTAACTCTGCAGGGTGATGGAAAAGTTTCTTTATGTAATAGAGGAAAATGATTCCCTATAAAAAATACATATATCCTTAATATGAATGTATATTATTGTGAAATACATTATTGACTAATTTACAAACAGTTGAGAATATCAAGTTTTTGTATCTTGGAGTTCAAATGTTGTCAAGAACTCATTTGATTGGGTTGTTGTAGGTTGTTCGGGCTATATGGCCATGTTCTAGAAGCATTCTCTCCTGATGTTTTGCCTGCATCTATGGCAAGCATCTTCAGAGGTTGTGAGGTCTCACAACCTCTGAGGATGCTTGCCATAGATGCAGGCGAAACATCAGAAGAGAATACTTCTAGAACATGGCCATATAGCCCGAAAAACCTACAACAACCCAGTGATTCCAGCCATGAAACCTTTGACAACTCATTTGATTGGTTACTTCCTGCTGGAGTAGATGATATAGTCTGAAATTGGTGTGACCATCATGCCTAGGAAAAGCCTAGGAGTTGGAGTTTCATGGGTACGGTACTCCTGATCCAATCTTGCAGAACTTTACACTAGGTTCTTGGTATCCACTGAAATTGGGTTCAATTATATACAACGGCATAGTAAAATGAAATCCTTTATATAAAATGACAGGATCCTCGTTTGCTTTTAAGAATCCATGGTTATAATTAACAACAACAACAACAACAACAACAACAACAACAACAACAACAACAACATGGTAATATTAATATTACTAATTCCTATGCTTGGCTGAGGTTGGCTGGTTCTGCTAGGAACTGCCATAGTATCTTAGGGCCTTTCCAGACAGGCCCTTTATGGCAGGATCTGATCCCAGGTTTTCTGTTTATCCCAGATTATCTTGCAGTGTGGACTAATATAATCCAGTTTAAAGCAGAAAACCTAGAATCGGATTCTGAATTATAGGGCCTGTCTGGAAGGGCACACAAAACAAGCAAGAAAAATGGGATATAATTCATGTACAGAACTATCTTATTATTGTTCCTCTACAATAATTCTCTAATATCTAGATATATTGTCCCATTCTCCCATATCTAGATACAGTGCATTTCATATCCTTAGTTTCCTCTCTTTTCTGCAAACCATTACCAATTGGGCTGCCTAGGTTGCAGACGTATCCCTTTCTATATATTGCAACATTACAATATTTTTGCGCATTACCTGGTAACAGTTTCCGTCTCGCCATGGCTGCTGCGCGATGGCTTCCATACTCGACAAAAGCAAATCCACGGTTTTTTGCTTTATCGGCTGCACTAGGGTACACGATGACATCGACAACACCATCGGTGACTTTCTTAATCTCTGCTAAGATTTCTTCCCTTTTCTTGGTTTTAGGGATCCCTCCTACAAATAAACGGCAGTTGTCTACACTGGCACAAACCCCCAGGAGACGGCCATTCCTGCATGCAAACAACAGTTCCATTTTTGTAGTGAGATAGATTTTTCTAAAAATTGACCATAATTATAATCAAGTATATTTATTGTCGTATTTAACATAAAAAAAGTTCTTTTCCAGATGACAACTCCAAGAACTCCCCAGCCAGCATGACTGTTGGCTAAAACATAATAGTTCTATTTTGGGTGTTTCTATACTTCTAACAACATCATCTAAATTGAATAGCCTATATTGAGAGTATATACATTTCAATTGAGAGTTTTGTATTGAGAGTATGAATAAATAGTTGTTGCAGTTATAGTCACTATGGAAGGAAGCCTATATTTGAAGGTTTGGAAATGACTATAGGAAGTTGTTCAATTCATCTATAGTGAAGGGAGCATCAACAAATTGGATGGGTGGTTAAAAAGTTCATCAGGCACAAAAAAGTCAGATTCTGGCCAGGAGATCTGAAGATGGTTGAGTACAGAAAATTGTTGTTGTGGTTGACTGTAGATATTATGGCTTAAGAGACAGGGCATTGAGACAAGGAAGAAGAAACACCAGTTTGAAGGAATAGGTAAAAGTTTTCCCCTGACATTAAGTCTAGTCGTGTCCAACTGGGGGGTGCTGCTCATCTCCATTTTTAAGCCGAATAGCCGGTGTTGTCCATAGACACCTCCAAGGTCATGCGGCTGGCGTGACTGCATGGAGCGCTGTTACCTTCCCACCAGAGCAGTACCTATTGCTCTACTCACATTTGCATGTTTTCAAACTGCTAGGATGGCAGAGGCTGGGGCTAACTGCGAGAGCTCACCCCTCTCCCCACATTCAAACCGCTGAACTTTCAGTCAGCAAGTTCAGCAGTTCAATAGTTTAACATAGGTTTTTAAATGCTGTATGTTGCGATATGTTATTGTTATTTCTTATTGTGTATTTTCTGTTTTGAGTTTATTTTAACTGTTTTTTATTGATTATTGTTATTGCTTTTGTTTGTTGTATGTGCTGTGGGCTTGGCCTCATGTAAACCGCACCGAGTCCCTTGGGGAGATGGTAGAGGGGTACAAATGAAGTTTTATTATTATTTATTATTAACCCACTGCACCACTGGGGAATACTCCTTGAAAATTCTGAATATTGCAGCTGATGACGAGCAGGAAGTGCCTTATGAGACTATAGAAAAACTTCAAGCGAGTAATAAGATCAGCACTAGAAGACCTCAAGCAGAGGCCTAGCCAAAGGGAACAAGCACCCCTTAGAGCAGACGCTTGCTTGAAGTCAGAGGCAGAGGAAGAGCTAGTTCTTGTTCCTGGCTATCAGAGATTAGGTAGAGTGGAGATTAGAGAAGCCCACCCGAGGGAGTGAAAACCCCTGTTGAGAGCTTAATTGGTTAGCTGAAAATTTTCTATATATTAGGAATGGTAACTAAGGACAGGCAGCATCATCCAGAAGTTTGAACATCAAACTATCACTCTGGAGACTAGAGTTTGAATTTCTGCTCAGCCATAGAAACTCACCTACAGCCTCATCACAAAGGCCAGGGAAAGTGTCCAGCTTTGGCTGGCTTCGCCGAGAAAGGAGAGAGGGCAGTGGGGCATATCTGTGAACCCACATTCAGCTCCATCTCAGCAATGGGGAAAGCATTACCCACCTAGCAAGGCCCCATGATGGCTCCATTGGAGCCAGCACAACATGAAGAAGTCTCCTGTGTTGTGGGGAAAGCATCCAGCAACACTTTCACCCCAGTTGGGGTGGGGCCTCCGCTGGAAGTCACACAACATCATGTGATGTTTGACGTAAGGTTCCATCCATTAAACCAGTGTTTCTCAACCTGGGGGTCGGGACCCCTGGAGGGGTCACCAGGGGGTGTCAGAGGGGTCACCAAAGACCATCAGAAAACACAGTATTTTATGTTGGTCATAGGGGTTCTGTGTGGGAAATTTGGCCCAATTTTATCRTTGGTAGGGTTCAGAATGTGTTTTCATTGTAGGTGAACTATAATCCCAGCAACTACAACTCCCAAATGTCAAGACCTATTTTCCCCAAACTCCACCAGTGTACGCATTTAGAATACTGAGTATTTGTGCCAAGCTTGGTCCAGATCCATCATTGTCCACAATGCTCTCTGGATGTAGGTGAACWACAACTCCCAAACTCAAGGTCAATGCCTACCAAATCCTTCCAGCATTTTCTGTTAGCTGTGGGAGTTCTGTGTGCCAAGTTTGGTTCACTTCCATCGTTGGTGGAGTTTAGAATGCTCTTTGATTGTAGGTGAACTATAAATCCCAACAACTGCAACTCCCAAATGATAAAATCAATCCCCGCCCCCAAACCTACCAGTATTCAAATTTGGGAGTATTGGGTATTTGTGCCAAATTTGGTCCAGATATTTGCAYTATGATTCAAAACAGGAGCAAAATTACAGTTATGAAGTAGCAAAATAATGTTATGGTTGGGGGGTCACCACAACATGAGGAACTGCATTAAGGGGTCACGGCATTAGGAAGGTTGAGAAACACTGCATTAGACTGAGTGAAAGTGTCCTAGGATGCTAAAGTCCCTCCCATCTGATGAGGTCCTGAATGCCCGTGGGCAAGTCCCATTCATTCTACGATGAAGGTAAAGGCAGACCTCCTCTCAACTAATCTTGCTGAGAAAGCCTGTGATAGGGTCACCTTGAAGTCACCCTAAATTGGAAATTACTTGAAGATACATAATGACAACCACCAAAAAATATTTTATTTAAATGCATTCAAACAATTGCAACTTTGAAGAGTGACAATTTATTCCTTCAATCGAGGTCTTAGTTTATTTATTTGTGGTATTGCTATATCACCTTCCACTTCATCAGGGCTCTTGGAGCAATGAACAAATAAAAGTTATTAAAAGCAATCTTGTCTCTAGCATTAGTGTCAAAATCTTATAATTGAAACTAGCTACTAGGTTCTAAAAGATATAAAGGGTGTGCAGGATTTGAATTGCAATTGTTTAGAAGGGGTTTTCATATTTGATACAGCATTCCTTGTAGGTTTATTTGGGAAACTTTATTTTAAAACCTGTAGTAGGGAGTTCCAGAGAGCAAAATCTCATTTAAAAAAAGAACAGAAATAGGAAATAATAATAATAATAATAATAATAATAATAATGGCAGATCTCCTTTATTCTGGAGTTTTATTATGGATCTTTAGTATGGATCGTCAATGTTGCAATCCCAGACAACAGCAGGATTGAAGAGAAACAACTGGAAAAGCTGATACGATATGAGGATTTAAAGATCAAACTGCAAAGACTCTGGCACAAGCCAGTAAAGGTGGTCCTAGTGGTGATTGGCACATTGGGTGCAGTGCCTAAAGACCTTGGCCTGCACTTAAACACAATTCGTGCTGACAAAATTACCATCTGTCATCTGCAAAAGGCCACCTTACTGGGATCTGCACACATTATTCGCCGATACATCACACAGTCCTAGACACTTGGGAAGTGTCCAACGTGTGATCCAATACACCAGCAAGCAGAGTGATCTTGTGTGCTGTGGACTCATCTTGTTGTGTTTCAAATAATAATAATAATAATAATAATAATAATAAGCAACTTTATTTGCATTCCGCCCTATCTCCTCAAGGGACCTCAGGGCAGATTCCAACATACAACAGCAAACATTCAATGCCTCCATAAAAACACACAGATATGGACCTAAAATCTTAGAGTTGTATCATTTTTATAGCAATTGTAGAATAACCCTATTTTTTTTTTTACATACTCAAATATATAAGAAGATCGAGAGAGACTGGTGTAAATGATGAGGTGCTAGACCAGGGGTCCTCAAACTAAGGCCTGGGGGCCGGATACGGCCCTCTAAGGTCATTTACCCGGCCCTCGCTCAGGGTCAACCTAACTCTGAAATGACTTGAAAGTGCACAACAACAACAACAACAATCCTATCTCATCAGCCAAAAGCAGGCCCACACTTCCCATTGAAATACTAATAAGTTTATATTTGTTAAAATTGTTCTTCATTTTAATTATTGTATTGTTTTAAAGTGGTTTTTGCACTACCAATAAAATGTGTGTAGTGTGCATAGGAATTAATTCATTTTTTAAAAAATATATAATCCGGCCCTCCAACAGTTTGAGGGCTGTGACCCGGCCCTCTGTTTTAAAAGTTTGAGGACCTCTGTGATAGACAAACCAAAGTCTGAGTAATTGCAATGCAGGTTCCTGTGTTTTTCTGAGCAACTTTACTTTATCCTGTTTCATTTTAACAGTTTTTGCACTTTTCCATTCTGTAATATATGTTGGATTTTAAAATACTGTATTTTTTCCAACTCTAAGATGCACTTTTCCCCCTATATAAACATATTTGAAAATGAGGTCCATCTTAGAACTGCAGTGTATCTTGTGTATTTTTGTTGGTTGGTGGTACTGAAGTTAGGGTATGTCTTACTATCAATGGTGTCTTACAATTGAAGAAGTACGGTACTACGAATGGTTTTTGAAAGTCAATAAAAGATATATGAATTTATGCTCTGAAAATAAACATATTCTGCTTACCTGATTTCATAATTGTTGAGTTGTCTGATTGCATTCCTGGCTTCCTGTTTGTTGGAGAATGTTACAAAAGCATAGCCCCTGTTGTTTCCATTGAAATCCATCATCATCCGCATTTCATAGATTTTGCCAATCTGTAAAAAACAACACACAGTCCTCCATTAAACCTACTTGAAAACAGAACTTTTGTCTGCCTCTTTAGGACAAAGTTAGGGAAAAACTTTTCCAGTTTCTTGCAATTCTGTTTTTGTCACTCCAGGGTAGCTTGACCGTGTTCCCTGAGCATCAAGCAAAGCATGTTTTACTTGAGATCTGCTTTCTGACCCATGTGCAAAGTCAAAACAAACAGAGGCGGCATCTGTCGAAGTCCATCCCATGCTGAGCTAGCACAGCTGAACTTGTTAGCAAGGTAAATGCCCTCTATTAGCACCCTCTGATAACACATTGTCTGAGCTTCTCCTAGGAATCGTGGAGTGCACTCACCCAAATAAAAATAATGATTTCTTGCATTGATTTATTCTTTTTTTTAAAAAATCTGTTGAAATAAGGACAAAAAGCTACTGAGTCACTCACAACCGACTATTCAAACAAAAGGAAGAAAAAATGATTTCCGTTTAGCTCAGTTCGTGTTATGTGGAAAAACATATATAGTGTGACACTTGGGTTTCCTTTCAAGAACCTCGAAGAGAGGGAAATGGTTGAAAAATAAAGATAGCTACGTGCTTCTCTTTTGAATTATTTTATATTTATCTTTGATTGTGTTGTGGTTAGAAGCATAAAATCGAATGCTGGAGCTCTTTGTACACTGTAGTACCCCTTATGAGTTTCTTCCCCTCATGCTGCTGGTACTGTGTCATACACATATGCTCCAGAGGGGATATGTGCCCGGTGTCAGCATCATGCCCTCAAACTGTCTCAATTTAGTAGTCACCACCCCAATTAATCTTTTCCTGGCCCACTTTCTCATCTGCTTTTAAAATGATCCAGCTTCTCTTGCCTCCTTCCACTTTCCCTCTCTCTCCTTGACTTACTATATATACTTGAGTATAAGCCGACCCAATATAAGCCGAGGCATCTAATTTTACCACAAAAACTGGGAAAATGTATTGACTCAAGTATAACCCGAGGGTGGGAAAATTAGCAGCTACTGGTAAATTTCAAAATAAAAATAGATACCAATAAAATTACATTAATTCAGCCTCAGAGGGTTAAATGATTTTTGAATATTTACATAAAACTGTAATTTAAGATAAGACTGCCCAACTCTGATTAAACCATTATTCTAACCTCCTTCAATATAAACACATCCTTCCAATAATAATAAATAGAGCAAAATCATAAATGTCATAATAACAATAATGATAGATGTCTTGACTTGCCCTTCAAAAACAGTCTTAATACAATGTTGAAAGTAAATGAAAAATGCTTTACTTCAGCAAACACAAAGGATAAGCAAATGCAGTTGAATAATGCAAAAGAAACCAAGGAAGTCTTAATGCAGACACAAATTAAAGTCTCTTACAAAGTCCCAAAAGAAACAGCAGTCTTCCATCAGACAACGGGCAATGATCACTAAGTCCTTAGCAGCAGACCCAAAGCAGGTTCAATTGGAGTGAAAACATCGGCATCAGAGTCATTGTTACCAGCGAAAGCAGACTGTTCCTGCTTCTGATTTATAGCCCTGAATTCCCCACGCAGGAGATGCTAGGGCATCTCCCAATTAGCTCCGCATTTCTAGCAGCTATTCTAGCTGAACACCATTTGTGCTCTGTCTCCTTTCATCTGTCTAGAAATGTGGACACTTGTAAAACCTTTTTTAAAAATAATTTTATTGAAGCGTATTCTTACAGATATATAGGTAAAAGCAAAGTGGGAATGTAGGGATTAAGGTTAGGAAAAAGGGTGGGGATGAGTGGGTAGATTGGGAGAAAAGGGGGTGTTGACTTCGAAGGAATCTGGGATGGGGGAAGGAAAGGTATGGGAGGGAGAGGTGAAGGGAGTGTGGTGGGGGTCATCTGACTTCCTTAATCATCTTCTCTCTGGTTCCATCTTTTTTTCCTTTTGTCTTCTTCCTTCTTCTGAAATTTCTTCTTCCTCTTCTTTTATGTCATATCTATTTTGATATACTGATATGTACTCCTCAAATAACTTCCAATCTGTTTTTTCATTGGTCTTCCATATGAGTCTTTTAATGCAAAAGTCAGTTTATCCATGTCTTTAATTTCCTTCACCTTACTTATCCATTCTTCCTTTGTGGCTACTTCTTTCTGTTTCCATTTTTTTTGCTAAAACTATCCTTGCTGCCATGATACAATAATTAAACAGAATGTCCTTATTCTGGTCTAGTTCCAGTTCTTCATCTGTTATTCCCAGTAAGAAGTATTCTGTTTTCATTTGAATTTTTATTTTTAAAATCTTCTCACATTCCTGTTTTATCATTTTCCAAAATGCACTGATTAAGGGACACGTCCACCACGCGTGGTAGAAGGTTCCCATCTGTAATTCACATTTCCAGCATTTATTTCTGGCTTTATTATAATTTTTGACGCCTAATTTTTGTGGCGTCATATACCATCTATAAAAGGCACTTGTAAAACTTCATCATATGATTCTTCTTCTCCCTCCAATTCCTGAGCACTTCCCTGCTCCCCTTCCTCTTCCGAAGAGGAGGAATCCCTAACAATAAAGTACAATAATAATTGTAATAATAATAAAAATGTAATATCAATAATAATAAAAAATAATACATGTAATAATAATAACAACAAATAGAGAAAAATAATAAATGTAATTATAACAATAATAAATAGAGAAAAATAATATATGTAGTAATAATAATAGAGTAAAATAATAAAATTAATAACCTTGGCTCGAGTATAAGCCAAGGGGGCTTTTTCAGCCTAAAAAAGGGATGAAAACTTATACTCAAGTACTGTATACTTCAGTTGCTTTCAACAGAGCTTACAGCGCAAAAGTAATTTGCACTCCATTAACTCAGTAAAAGGAGGAAAGGAGGGCTGGCTCAGGCAAAGGAAAACGGATGCAACCCCTCCTAGCTTGTGGGCATTTTTCTTTTGCATCTTGGCAATACTCTGATGTTGCTTTGCTACACGTGTCCCAGTTTTCATCTATGAAGTACTGGAGTGGATGCAACATGGGAACTTGTCACTCAAAACAACTAGAAAAAATGGTATACTGTAAATGCTCCCTACATGGCTCAATCAACCTCTGTTTGAATACAGAGGATCCAGATTCTGGATCAATGGAGTTAACCAGTCATTGATTCAAACATCTTAATACACATAGCAAATGAACGAGACAAGAAGCTGGAGAGAGACTGAGGATCGGTGAAATGGAGGCAGTGCAAGTGCAGTGCTTATTGCAGATCCATTCCTTCTGCCATTTCACAGATCCTCATGTCTCTTTCCAGTCTTGCATTTGTCACATCTCTCTCCACCTTTATGTCTCTGAAACTGCCAAACACCTGCTTTAACCTTGCAAAGAAAGGTGGAAATGGGCACTTGGTAGGGAGCCCAAAGATAGCATGTCTGGACTCCAGGGTTTGCCATCACCTCAACTGCTGCCCTACCCCATTTTTTATTATTATT